GAAAATGAGTAGAGTGAGCTGTGGTCATATGGTTATGGGGAAACCCAGCATTTGGTTGCGAAAAATGGATGAAGAGCAGGACTAAACATGACATTTGCTAAGATATGACGCCACCTGAAGAAGTAGATTGGCCGGCGCCGCGGCTCACTAGGCTAATCCTCCACCTAGCGGCGCTGGCACACCGGGTTCTAGTCCCGGTCGGGGCGCCGGATTCTGTCCCGGTTGCCCCTCTTCCAGGCCAGCTCTCTGCTGTGGCCAGGGAGTGCAGTGGAGGATGGCCCAGGTGCTTGGGCCCTGCACCCCATGGGAGACAGGAAAAGCACCTGGCTCCTGGCTCCTGCCATCGGATCAGCGCGGTGCGCCGGCCGCAGCGCGCCGGCCGCGGCGGCCATTGGAGGGTGAACCAACGGCAAAGGAAGACCTTTCTCTCTGTCTCTCTCTCTCACTGTCCACTCTGCCTGTCAAAAAATAAAAAAAATAAATAAAAAAAATAAAAAAAAAAGAAGTAGATTGATTCTGTTGGCCAGGATGTACTTTGAGGATCAGGACTAGGGAGGTAATTGTAGCCTGAAATGGTCCAAGGTTTGCATAGAACCTGCTTGATCATAGCCAAAGAACATATTATATTCATGTAGGCTTTTAGCCAAATGACCCTTTTTCATGTTTCAGCATATTTAGATTGTGATCTTGCTGATTAGGATTACAAGTAAAAGTGAGACCCCTTTGACAGTGCTGCAAGTGGAATACAGGACTAACACTTGCCTTATAGACAGACTAGAGTATATTAAGCTTTGACTTTGCAATTTTGAGGAACGTGATAGGGACCATATATTATAATGGGGTAGGAGAGGTCACTTTTTTTAATGCTCTTGTGTTGCAGGTCCCTGCATTAGAGGATAATAGTTTTAAATAAAGCCACATTTCTAACAAGGGACCAGATAACAAGGATAAATGAAATCTGCCGATGGTCTCGAAGCTTCATTTTAGCCATTATTTATAATCTCTTCTCCTAGCAAACCTTTTACTGTGTAACAAAATTGATTAATTTGCATGTATTTCTTTTCTCTGTGCCCACATGCTCTCTGAAAGAGGAGTGAACAAATAGAGAAATGGACAGGAGAGAAAAGAGGATGGGGCTAAAGCCAGGTGGAGTTGGGGACCCATAATCCCCAAACTGGATAATCAACTCGAGAGTAATCAAGATATATTTTCAGGTCTTAACATTAATCTTGATATTTAATCATTCTGAACAATGTTAGAAGCAAAATATTGTGTAATAGCATTAATAAAAATCACTTTTTATGGAATGGTTTAGAATAAATATGGCCTTCTTTTTAGCATGAAATAGGAATCTGTTGAACTGGTCTTAATGTTCTCTCAGCACACACAGCTAGAGCTTGGTTTAATTCCATATCCTCTTATCTATAAGTCCTACATTTAATTTACTACCATTCCAGTTGATTTATAGCTTTGCTTAGCAAAAGTACAGTCTTGATTAAAAGAATATTATCACAGCTGATGGACCTTGAAAGCATCTTTTTCTCAGACCTTCTAATAATTTTGAAAATGACCTGCAGACTCCATAAGGCTAGATTTGTAAGTCTGCAGTAATTGCCCACCTGGCTGCACTTTGAACAGTGGTAAGATTACTGAGAAATACATCTGGTGATATAGTTTTCTCAGCTGCTGTCTCCTTATCCAATTTCAGAGATAGAAAGTTATGAAGATAGAGTTTTAAAGCAGGTCTGCTTAAGGGAGTCCCAGCTCCTTAGTTAGCTAATCTGTTATGATTGCCTTTGGCCCATGAGCTGAGGGATTCTTCAATCTGTGTGCAGGAGGACTCAGTTTTTATGCATGAGGGTTCCATTTTGGAGTTGTAGCTGTGACCAGTGCCTCCCTGAAACAGCATGGACTTTGTTTTCATGCTCATCTCCATGGAAATGACTTAACTTAAAAAGCCAGTGGGGGCCGGCACCGTGGCTCACTTGGTTAATCCTGCACCTGCAGCGCCGGCATCCCATATGGGTGCTGAGTTCTAGTCCCGGTTGCTCCTCTTCCAGTCCAGCTCTCTGCTGAGTGGAGGATGGCCCGGGTGCTTGGGCCCCTGCACCTGCATGGGAGACCAGGAGGAGGCACCTGGCTTTAGATTGGTACAGTCCCGGCCGTGGCGGCCATTTGGGGAGTAAACCAACGGAGGGAAGACCTTTCTGTCTCTCTCTCTCTCTCTCTCTATAACTCTACCTGTCAAATAAAAAAAAATCTTAAAAAAAATAAAGTAAAAAGCCAGTGGTTCCCACAGGTTGACCAGAATGGGTCATTCTCCACAGCGTGCCATTTCCCCGTCTCCTGTTTTGATTATGTGGTATGACTATTGGGTGGCATCTGTGATTCTAGGAGTAAGAAAATGCTGTTGCCCAACAGGTGACAAAAAGCTATTATGCTTTGATTCTGTTAAGAGCATATTACCATTCTCCTGATTCTGCCAGCCGAAAAAAAAATGAGTCACCCTCATTTGGGCTTTATAGCTTAGTGGAGGAGGTTTTTTGACCTATGAAAAAACTTATTTCTCACAAAAGATTCACTTTAAAATCTCTGTACTTACAGTTCAATTTACAAGGCCTTTTAATTGTTCAGAATCATAGGAACCCAGGAAAGAATTACAAGTCATAAATATGGTTCTAAGTCAAAATAAGTTTTTTTTTCTTATCAGATTTGATGGTAGGACCTTCTCAAAGTACAAAAGTAAATGAAGCAATTTTGTTCGTGAGTAATTTTTATTGTAACCAACATGTTCTTTGATTTTGGTCTAACCTCATATAAACAGCTTTATTGAGATATTCACATACCATACAATTAGTCCTAACCTCTTTAATTGTTAAATTACAAGGCTTTAAAAATCTCTGCGATTTTTGTTGGAGAACACAGAATGTGCTACTATGAAGAAAGGACTTATATGTCTAAATTACCCCCATTTGTCTAAATCGCTTTTTTTTCCCAACATGTGGCCACATTTTTCTTTCAGAACTAGAATGGTTATTAGATGTTATTTGGTTCAATTAGAATAAAAATCATCTGGGGATCTATTCTTTCCCTAAACTATACTTGCTGAAACATGAAACCTTCTGAAATGCTGATAAACTTTTCAATCCCCCTCCCCAACCCATCCCTATTAAATATCACTGATTTCATCTGACACTCTCATCTCACACAGTTTTGACTGGATACCTTAATAAACACCAAAGTTCTTTTCAATTCTAACGTGACAGGTTTTTGATTAATAGAGTTGAAGATTCAAAATTCACTTCACCGAATGATGGGACATAAATTACTTATACAGTGTATTTTAAAAAACAAATTTTGAAGAATCTGATGTTGAAGGAAAAAATTCAAAGTCACTGATCAGGAAGTCAGTATACAGAAAATGTTGCAAATTTGTCATTGTCTCAGTGCTGGGCAGGCACTGGGGAGATTAGGAGGTGTCCTTTATCCTGGAAATGCCTGACAGCTAAGCACTCATATTTCTTCCCAGCTGTCCACAGTCATTTCCCACAGGGTATGGGGAAGCCTTATTGTGTTCATCATTAAACAGCTGTGCTGGTTGCATTTTTAGTAGAAGGAGATTCATAAGAATACTGATATTAAATAGATAGAAGAAATAGCCATAGAGATATGCTTTAATAAAAAAAAACACACAAACCACTCAGAAGATTTGACAGGCTCTAATGGATGGATGTGTGAAGACCTGGGGAAAGAGCCAAATGGATTTCCCAGAACACTTTTTATTCCTTGAAAAATTGGAAAATTTCAAGCTAAGGGTAGAAGAAGTAAAAGAGGTTTTCATTAGCCCCTTTTCCTCTTAAACACCTTTACATCCATACAGATAGAATAAATGTCTATGATGTCACTCACCTTCTCTGAAAAGAAGCCTCCATCATGGGTAATAATGTTCACCTGATCTTACATCTGCCCTCCAGTTCGTGGCCAGCCCAGTGCGCCACTCAAGAATCACTGATCCAAGGCAAGCAGGTTCTTGGGAGAATGGCATGGATTATTGTGCTTTTGAAAGTTCATTATTATTATCAGTGTTTGCAACACAGTTAAAAATATTTAATGATCTTTAGCTGTATACACTATTCTGGGTGAGATATGAGGGGGCAGGATAGATTCCTTTTGACTGCATCCTATTGAGATGAAAAGAGTATTTTAAAAAAAAGTAGAAATTGCCCAGACTTACTTAGAAGATACCTTTTTAAGTACATCACCAAAAGCTTGTTTTGCATAAAGTTGCTAGGCTAGGATATAGAGAAACTGTAAAGATCCCCAGCTACAAAGTGATTTGAAGTCTTTAATCTTCTTAAATTGAACAACACTGTTTGAGGGCAGCCATGTAGATGGACTCGGAGGCATTTCCACTGGCCCACTGGAAGTCATAGTATGTTTTTTAGGAATACTATCTATACTGGATGGTGATGTGGGATCTGGTTGTTTCCATTACTTTTTTTCCCAGTCCTATCTGGCGATGTTCTCTTGAATATATATAATTCAAGGTTGAAAGGGATTAGAGAGTCTGGGAGGGGGCCAGCAATGGATGTTTTGGAACTCAATCTGAAGTGGTGAGTGTCCTTGCAAAACAAGATGGTCATTTGCTATCTCTTTGAAGGCAGTTCCCTTTGTCTAGTCCCTTATGGTTATAAGCTATAATTTGGCCTGGGGGCAGGAACTACCCTGTTCTATGCACAGCCCCAGAGTGGTTCAAGTCTTCCAAATGGAATAGCATAGCCCAGTGCATGTTGGGCACATGCAAATCAATATGTTCATTCTCCATGGCCATGATAATGACCATCAATGCCAAGGTGAAACCATTGGAAAGAGAAAATTGATAGGCCCTTTTAAAAACAAGGGGAAAGGAAGAACTGCATTCTCTTGAAAGCTAAAGTATAACTATTTCTTTCTGTTTCTATGAAGAAGACTGTACTAATAAAACTGCCAATTTCTTTCAGGTGGGTGTACATGGCATTAGAATAGAATTCATCAATGAAAAAGGATCAAAACGCACCGCCACCTACCTACCGGAGGTTGCAAAGGAGCAAGGTCATTGTTGTACTTTATTTCATGTGCTCTGGTGAAGAATTTAGACAAATACACAAATTGAAGTGTGACATCTGACCTTGCAGTTATGTCTTATAATTGATCAATGTCAAATTATAAGAAATGAGTTTTCCATCACTGCCACTGCAATGTCTGTATCAAGTTAGTGTACTACTCACACAGAAGTTGAATCTGCTATGAAATTGGATAGCATAAACACATACTTTCAAAAAAGAAATGATTCATAAAGTTGGGTTTTATCTTAGGTAACATTTACTACTAATTTCAAATGCCATTTTCCCAGATTCCATTGTGCTGTAGCTGAATGGTATAAACAAGCCTTTTGCTTGATAGTCAGCCACATAGTTCATTGTTATTGTCAATAGCAAATGTTGTATTCTTAGATAGTTGCCATTGTTCAGTTGTGCTAATATGAAGATTGCAGGTTTCTCATTAAGATTGGGAGCATTGTGAATATTAATAGTGTTTTATATGATTAGTCTATGCTTCCTAATCAACAAAGCTTTTCCCTATTTTACAGATACAGTACAGACATTTACAAATTGCAAAACAAAATAGCTTTTCAGTCTGTAGTATTTGGTCCTGTCTAGACACTACTAAATTCTAGTTTCATGTTAGTTGAAATGAATGTCTCATCTCATCTTTGTACAGCTTTTCCTATCAAGAGAAAGCATTTATAATTTGTTTTCACCCATGTATGTTCATATACATGTGGGATACAGAACAGCAAAATTTAATGTCATTAAGCTCCCATATGAGAATGTTAGACTTTAAGAGAGTTAATATGAAATTTTATTTGGGTTGCCTTAATCCTGCAGTATCACTGTCTTGGAACATATGTAAGCAATAGGGGGTCTCAAGTGTATGCATGTATACCATCTATACCAGATCAATAATAATAAAAAAAAACCTTGAGTATTGCATGCAAATATATTCAACTGATTAGAGAAGATGTCATTAGGAACAGCAGTTACCACAAGGTAGTGTGGGAATCCTAACTACTGAGTTGCCATGGTCACATTCAGGCTTTTCCCTCCCTTTTAAATATGTCAGTGTTAGAGGAGAGGACAGTGGTTATGATTTGTTAGAGACATAACTGAGCAGTTTCTGGCAGTCTCTTAGACTCCTTGACTTCGAATGTGTCGTTGAGATAAAGCAGCTAGTGTGGTGAGCTAGAATTTAAAATGTGTGCTGATGAACCTGTTTCTATGCAGGTTAAATCTTAGCTCTTCTATGTGATTGTTTTTAGGACCAAAGGAATTGATGGCATTTGGTGACAGTGATAGCTGACCTCTGCAAAGTCGTTTTGTATTTAACCAAAGGTGTTTGTTACTTGTGCTTAACTGGTATGTTATCTGGTTGGCTCTCCACAGGATGGGACCATATTCAGACCATAGACTCCTTGCTGAGGAAAGGAGGATACAAAGCTCCGATTACTAATGAATTCAGGAAAACCATAAAACTGACCAGGTACAGAAGGCATTCTCTAATGCAAGGCTAAACCGTTACATTTCATTGTGGGCATCTGTAGCCCTTTGATGTCTTTGGTCTCTCTGACTATCTCTTTTTTTAAATAGTGCAGATGAATGGAAGGGCCATACTGAGGGTGGATACAATGTTACTCTGCTTGGCAAAAAAGCCTGTATGATGTATGAGCACATCCTTCACATCTTGAGCTCTGCGTGATTACTCTAGCTTTGTACAGGCAAGCTCTCTGAGAATTTAGACTGTTAATAGAGGAAGTACCTGCATTGGCTACTGATTAGCTTTTGACCACAGGATTCTGATCACAGTCCTCAAATTTGATTTTAACTTTAACAATTTTGGCAGTGATAGAAGTCTACCATGAAATCTTCCTGAAAAACACAATTGAGTCGAGCCCAAATGCTAAATAAATTTTGGCATGGATTAACAGGAATGCATATTTAAAAAGGAAAATATCAAACACTTAAGGAAAATGAGTTGTTTACATTTATTTCAATTCCATGAAACTGTACTGATAAGTCTAAAAATGGACTATTCTCAGCTCTGGGGAGTTACAAATTTGAAAATGCCCCCATCTCTGCTCTCTCTGAGGTTATATTCAAAGAGAATAGATGGGCATGTAGAAAAAATAATTATTAATATAAAACCGAATATGATAGATGATGTAAGATCATAAAACACAGAAAGAGGAATTCCAGGAGGTGGTCAGGGTAGGTGGGTAGTAGGAAGTTTCAAAGAGGAAGTCAGTTTGAGGCTGGGCTTGAAGAATGTATAAAATATTTGACATGTAGAGAGTGAAGGAGGCCAGAGATCTCCTTAAGAAGGACCTTGTGAGTCTCAAGGCATGTAGCAAGTCCTGAGAAATGCGAACAGATCTGATTTGGCATGTCTCTCAGCATACACAGAGATGGTGGTCAGTAAAGGAGAATATGGCCCAGGAAATAGGTTGGGTCAAGACCATGAAGGATCTTGCATTCCAGACTAAGAAGTTTGGCCCTGACTCTTTCGCAGTTGGTAACCATTGAATGATTTTAATCACATGAACTCTGGAGGTGTAAGGTTGAACTTGAAAGAGGGAAATGGGCTAGGAAATGTTGCTGTTATCTAAGAATCTGTGGTAGCAGACCAAAAGAAGAACAATAGGGCCTTTAATGAGAGTTGTGGCAGTGGGGTAGTAAGAAAGGTGGGGACAGATATGAAAACATTGTGGAAGAAATGAAAGGATTTAGTCATTATTTAGCAGTAAGGAAGTCAGACTTTAATCTAGGTAGAAGGGACCAAGGTCATCCCTTTAACCAACATGAGAAACATAGGAAGAAAGTTCAGTTTAATGTATTGGTTCTGAATTTTAAGGGCTTCCTGGAATTTCTATATAGAAGGGTCTAGTAAGTCACTGAAGATATAGATAGATAGATAGATAAATAGAATAGATAGATATAGATATAGATATAGATATATAGATATCTTCCTGGAATTTCTATATAGAAGGGTCTAGTAAGTCACTGAAGATATATATATATATATATGATATATATATGATATGTATTATATGTTGATCCTCAAGTATCATCTATAAAGGGGCCATAGTTGAAGCTGTAAGGAAAAGGATAGGTAGGGTTCACTGAGGGGGACTGAGTATAGGCTCAAAAGAACTAAAGAGAGAAACATAGGAAAATTCAAACAGTAATGGGTAGGAGGAGCAGTCAAAAAGATAAAGAGTCAGGGATGGTGCTGTATATGTAGTACAGCCCCAGCTTGCAGTGCTGGCATCCCATATGGGCGCCGGTTCAAGTCCTGGCTGCTCCCCTTCTGATCCAGCTCCCTGCTAATGTACCTGGGAAAGCAGTGGAAGAAGGCCCAAGTGCTTGGCCCCCTGCACCCACATTTCCATGGCTCCTGGCTTCAGCCTGGCCCAGGCAATCATTGTGGCCATTTGGTAGTGAACCTACACATGAAAGATCTCTCTTTGCCTTTCAAATAAATAAAAACATATCTTTTTTAAAAAAGATAAGGACAAAAAAGGGGGGGGCCGGTGCCGTGGCTCACTTGGTTAATCCTCCACCTGCAGCACCGGCATCCCATATGGGCACTAGGTTCTAGTCCCGGTTGCTCCTCTTCCAGTCCAGCTCTCTGCTGTGGCCCTGGAGGGCAGTGAAGGATGGTCCAACTGCTTGGGCCCCTGCAGCCACATGGGAGACCAGGAGGAAGCACCTGGCTCCTGGCTTCAGATCGGCGCAGTGCCAGCCATAGCGGCCATTTGGGGGGTGAACCAACGGAAGGAAGACCTTTCTCTCTGTCTCTCTCTCTCACTGTCCACTCTACCTGTCAAATAAAAAAAAAAAAGATAAGGAGTCATCTGAGAGGCAGGAATACATGGAGGTATAGAGCCCATGGGACCAGGGAACTTTGGAAAAGGAGTGTGAGAGGCATCATCATCAAAAGGTCAAGCAGAATCAGGGGCAGCCTTCTGATAAAACATTCTACACAAGACAGTGGACACAGATACCAAAGGAGCACTGATCAAGGAGTAGCATGACATGGAGAGTAAAATTAGAAAATACCCAGCACTCTTTAGAACAGTTCAAACAAGGAGTAGTGGAGTGGAGAAAGGAATGGATGTGGAGTTTGGACCCCTGAGTTCTGATACCAGATTTGCTATGTACTAGCTATGTGCATTTGGGCAAGCCACTGCTGCCCTCTGAGCCTCTGTTTCCTGATCTATACAATTATCTCTAAGTCCCTCCTCGCCTTGATTGAGGCATGTCACCTACTTCTTGATGTTAAGTTTTCTCTTCCCTGAATTTCTTTCAGGTACCGTAGTGAAAAGATGACCCTGAGCTATGCTGAATACCTTGCTCATCGCCAGCATCATCACTTCCAAAATGGCATTGGGCATCCCCTTCCACCATACAACCATTATTCCTGACACTGAGCCGCACAACCAGTCACTGGGCCTCTCTGCAGACCTCTTCCCAGGAGACCCTACACCTTCTTGGTCTAGCTATCTCTTTTACTGTACCATTTTATGATGATAGTTTCCGTTGCCATGGTGAAACTTTGACGTAGTCAATTAAGATCATCATGGTAACGGATAGGAAATGGCATTTAAGAAGATCCTGTTTTATTATTTTAGATCATTGACTTTTTTTGCAGCATATATAACTTTTGGGTTTTTCTTTCCTTACAATATTATATAGAATTTTGCTTTTCTTTCTGAGTCAGGTTTCTGTCCTCACCCCCCTTCCTTCCTTCTTTTGACTGTGGATGGAAGAAAGTGTGAAGTTTAAGGATTTTATTTAGGTTTGTGTCAAGCCTTCCTCAGTAACATAGTTACTTTTTGATAGCAGAATTTGGTTATCATTCGTATCAACTTTCAGGTATTTGTGTATTACTCATGAATTTGTCTGAAATTCACATTGCTACGAGAGCGTAGTATTTGGTTCTTCACTCTGTAAGTATGTGTTTTTCCCATGGTTAAAACATATGAACTTTAGTTCTAATCTTGAGCATTCAGAGGCCCATGATAGGCCTTGTCACAGAGAGTGAAAAATCCTTTATGCCCTACTGTGCTGGTTATCATAGAAAGGAGAGATTGCCTCATCACTTTATAGAACCAATTTATAAACTAAAACACAGTTTTAAGAAAATACAAGTTACCTTTCAAATAGGCCACAGAAACCATTTTGAAGAGCAGCAAATATTAGAAGAGAGCAGATACAGAATTTAGTGCCTTTAAGAATATAATTAAATGGAATTAAGAGGGGGTAAGAAAAAGGCAATTTAGAGAAATATTCTTATAAAAAGTTTATTGTTGCTATATGTGAAACAACAGATTAGACAAATTCCTTACTCTTAAGTATTTTTTTAAGATGGAAAAATTATTTTGAGCAAATAACCAAAAAGAGACATTTTTCTATTTTATATTAATTTAAATTTGTTAGCTTTAGGTTTCAATAAATCATCATTGGCCAGATACAATTTTAGCTGCCATCTAAGGATATGGTAAAGATAATCTAAGGAAATATAAATTCATATATGCCGTGATTTCAGATATGTTTGTCATGGGGTTATATAATAATACTAGAGTTTTAGAGATACTATAAAATAGTTTGAATCTCTTTGTGCACTACAGATTCTTGATTGAATCATGTTTACTATGTTGTTAACATGTATTAGACCTGTAAAAATAGAGTTGGTATTCAGAAATGCTATAGGTAGAGCCCAGCTCATTTGCAGAGCTAGTCTTCCCATGATGCATATGAAGAGAACTTAACAGATGTCAATAGGAGGGCTGTATGTATTTCCCCAGGAAAAATAACAGAAAATTCTAGAGAAAGACGATTTTTCATTGTTTGGTAGTAAATATATATATATATATACACACACACACACACACACACACACACATATACTTGGGAAAATACATACTTTTTAAAACAGGAAACAAATATATCAAGTGATAAAATATGCCCCAGAATGGATACTATAAAACTGCAAGAAATGTCACTGAATATCAAGTTGATACAGCTTATATATTTAGTTGCTGTGACAAGTGACAGACTGCTAGTTTAGAATTCAAAAATTATTTTCTAGTTTGTGATATAATTGGCTAAATTCCTTCCGCTTGCCTCTGGGGCAGAGCAAACTGCTGTAGCTTTTGATGAGAGTTCTTAGATGTTTGTTGGTATTCCTTCATCCACAGCATCCATTGTTGAAATAACTATTTTCAGTTGCCTTAACTAAGAAGCCAATTGTTAGCCTGAAATACAATCTAGGTAGCCAGTTCTATTGAGCTGAGAGATAAGTCAGAATAAGTTAGCTAACATCGGGCTTTGGAAAGGGATTTTTTGAGTCCTGTTGTTTCTACTTGGGGGCATTTTGAAGCAGATTAGTCTTTCAGTAAACAAAACAAATGGCTACCTGATGGAAACTTTCTCTTGCCCTTATAGGGAAACTGAGCACAAGCTAAATGATACTGTCTGCTGCAAAAAAAAAAAAAAAAAAAAAAGTAAAAAAAAGCAAACTGAAAAGAGACAAAATAGATAGACCAACATTGTTATGAAATCCATCATGTCCATCATCTCATCAGTTCAACAGGCTCACCACCCTGGGTGAGCTTATGGTTAGAAGTTTTTTGTTTTGTTTTGTTTTTAGAGAAAAGATCTATTACACACACATATGTGTGTGTGTATACATATACTTACATATACATACATACATATGTGTGTGCTTATGTATTTAACGGTGCTAATCAATCTTGAGCAGGTCACGTGACTGGTCATGCGGACTCTAAAATCATATCAGATTTTTATAAATCCTTGATATATGCAGATGTTATACAGATTTTCTTACCAGTGTAATAATGTTATACTGAAGAAATAACCATCCTGCAGGCTTCAAAGGACGAGGTCAGCAATATTTCCCACCATGGCTTGGGGGAAAAAGATAGTTTTGTCTCCTTTTGTATTCAAGTTAATGCACTGTGCATTTTTGTCTCTAAGTAGCTGTTGATTAAAAGCCTTTGTAGTGTAAAGGGTGTTATACAAACTGTAATGGTGTGCTTCAAACAAATGCTAGACCTTTTCACCTTTGTTGTATATTACAAAGCTGTTAAATATGTGGTTTGAATTAACTTTGAACATGTTGAAATATGTAGCATGTGTCTTTAACTCCGACAAAGATTCTAATTGCACAGGTTGTGTTCTAGCCAGTTGTGGTTTATTTGTTCAGAAACACAAATGTGAATTGCACTCTTATCACCAGAATATTGTATAAGTTCAGTGATCTGTAAACAGCTCAGAAGTAATACTTGAACTTCATTTGAGTAGCACAAAGTTTACATAGCCCCCTTTTAAATGTTAATTAGTTCCATTTAAGTTTTCTGTTTTCAAATGCACCTAGGTATTTTTCCTCTTGGAAAATAGTACGTTTTTTACTTTGGTATGTAGCAAAAGGCTTCCATTTCTGGAAGGGTTTTCTTGTTCATAAACAAGGTCAGCCAGGTACCAGATTCTAAAAGGACAGTCGCCTCCCCTGCCCCCATACGCACGCCCTCCACCCCTCAAGTGGCCTTCTGACTGCACAAGCATGTGCTACTACCCTCTCCAGTCTCCTCTACGGTGAGAGGTTGGTGAAATTGATGGAGGAAGTGTAAGGCTTGCCTTTCCCCCACCCCACCCCAGCCCAACTTAAAGCAGTTTTAAGATTTTTCAGTCCAGTGCATACAGTCCTAAGGCCCAGCACACCGGAAGTTTGTATACTGGCCTCTTTTCTTGTCTTCAAACGTGCAGGAAATTTGAAACTGTCATCTGGAATAGGTTCCATCTCTTGTGTGTGTTAGATCAAACCAAAGAAGCCCCCAGCCATGCCCAAATGCTGCTCCAAAAGCCTGCCTTCCAGTCCTTACAAAAACCTTGCAGGATTAAATGTGTTAACTTTTTTTATTTTTGTACAGTTTCTAAGTGATTTTTGCTAGTGATGTTAAATTGAATTAAGTTTATTTGGGAGGTGTGAGCACCTCTTCCATTTTAAATAAACTGGTGACTTTCCTTTTATTTTTTAAAAGTGGAAACCCGTTGTGTGCCTCTCAATTTAAGGGTTTCTGATTACATTATACTTAAGACCAGCATTGATCCTTTATATACAAAGATATGTTTTCCTTGTTTTTTATTACTGTTTCAGAAGAAAATGAACCTTTTATTTTGCTCTGGACCCAGTAAACGCGCTGGTACATAGACGCACTGAGAAAACAAACTTTTGTAACCACCTCTGACTGCTTTTGTATATCAAAGTTGATTACTTTTGAAATATTTGGATCTAGTTTCTAAGTTATTTTAGTGTTTTATATGTTCCCTAAAGTTACTTTGAATCAGTCACCAGCATAGTGAGTTCTTGGTGATGCAATAGTGAGACTTGTAATGAGCAAAAAGCTACCTGGAGTAGCTCTTCTTTTCCTTCTTTCTTAGTAACCTGTTTTTGATTACAGTAAGATATTACAGATTACCTGAAACCCCTTCCAGTATAACTAGGTCCTTCTTCCTTCCACATTTAATTGCTTAATAGTTTGAAGAAACTATCGGACATGGGCATTTTATATGACATGTATGGCTTTAAAATATTAAAAATGAGCAAAAAGAAAAAATATGAGAAGGTTTATGTGGGTCTGTAAGGTATGGCTGTGGAAAGATATTGTAGTAGTTTTGACACTATTGTTATTACCTTTAAAATCATTTACCCAATAAAATGTTAAAACTGATCATTTGTTGTTTATTTATTTAACTTGCCTCATCCTAGGATCTTGGTCTCATTGGTACTTCTTACTAAAAGGTTACTCGTTGAAGACTCTAAAGTAATATAGTTAGGAACTGATAGTGACTTATTTCCAAACACTTAGGAAACCACACATGGCTGCAATTGCTCCCTACCATATGGCCTACCAATGTCATCTTTGTGTCTCACTCTGAATCCAGGCTTGGTGACATAGATTAGCATTTATTTGGACAATCTAACCTGGCCATGGATGCAAGGCAAGCACAAGAATTGAACTCTGGTGGCAGCTTAGCTATGCTTTAGCCCACTCCAGATACCTTTTAGTCAGTTAGTGGTAATTTGGCGTTTGCCCTCTGTGAGCCTGTGGGGACAGTAACAGTGTTCTCCGGAGAAACTGTAAGAAAGCTGGTAGCCCTTTCTTTTGCCCTCAAGTCTTGGCCATATTCTAAGACAAAATCTAAAAATGACCCAGAGCTTGTACATACTCAGTACACACACTAGGCATTCCACACACTTCAACGTATTACTTCCCAGCTACTTTTCTGGTTCCAGATTGATACCCTCAATATGAGCGTCGGGAACGTGCCTGGGTTTGGAGTAGGGCAACTGTGCTACTGACTTTCAAGGGCCAGATGAGAGCCTGCACCAAGAAAGGAATCTACTACCTCTGTCAGCTGCTGCCTTGTGTCTTTGTCTATGGAAAGGCTCCCAAGGACATTATTGAAATACCTCTGGCTCTTTCTAAATCATTTGCTGTGTCACTTTCCTCATACACATTTCAGGTTTTGTTGCTAGTTGAATGTATGCAGGACAATTTTCTGTTACATTGCTCCAAAACCCTGGTACTGTGTGAATTTTATGACACATGCTTATGTCAGTCACAGTGGCTAAAAACTGCCATCACAGATCCTAGAGGACTATTGTGGTTTTTGAATAGTGCTCCATTAAGGCAGCCATCTGTTCAGGGTTTACCCATTTTCATCCTTTGTGCTTAATGGGACATAAGTTTCTTTAATGATTTAGACATTATTAATAGTTTCAGGTGGAATGAAATAATTTAATGAGCCCACAGCATTTTTTTTATACCATTAGTGGTTAACTCAATGGTCTGGACAAATTTCAACTTCAGTAATCACACTCCACCTACCTAAATTCTTCCCAGAGTTTCAGCATTTTCCCTTTAGATTTCATGGCCCATTGAACACCTTTTAAATAGCTCGGATGCTTCAGAGGGAAAGCATGGCTGGGTCGAATGAGGCAGTTCCTCTGTGTGGATGGAAGACACTATCATCTCTAAGGGGGCCTCTCAGTGTGAGCTAGGAGCAAGTCTGTTGAGGAGAAATCACACCTGGATTCAGAGCTGACAGCCAAGAGAGCCAGTGAATGGCTACTCAGAGAAGCCACTCAGATGGCTTCTCCCACTCTCTGCAGCTCCAACTGTGTGAGCCAACACAAGTGTGGGTGTGGGCTGGTTAAACGCTGATAGTTTCCCATCTGTTTGCCTAGGCTTTTCACCCACAGGAGGAGGAGCTGACTGGGAGGATGCAACTGAGGCAAGCCCTAGGAATACTGTGGGTGGCTACCATAAAAGGCCTCCTTTGATACCTGCAGATCCATGGGATAATCTTGGGTTCCAAACCCCAAGCCTGCTGGAAGAACTCTTTCAAGATTTGGAGGGAACTGCCTTAGATGCCAAGCACTATTCTGAAGCCAGTCTACTTCCTCATTCCAAGAACTTAGTGAAAAGCTTGTTTTCAAATGACCTCACAGTGTACAGCAGTCTCCCCCCGACCCCACTTATCCAAGGGGAGTATATTCCAAAATCTGGTGGATGTCTGAAACCAGAGATACTATGGGACCCTATATATGCTATGTGTTTTCCTATATAGGTACACACTAAGAGATTAATAATAACTCATAAAATAGAATAATTATTAATATATTGTAATAAAATTGCAGCATCATTAGCATTGCACTTTAGGACCCTTGGTAAGTAAAACAAAGCACCATGATCCCATAACAGTCCAGCTGATAACCAAGACGGCAAGTAAGAGATTAACGCGCTGGGAGCCTACATAACATGGGTTTGCCAGACAAAGGGATAATTCATGCCCTGGGTGGGATGGAGAGGGATGGTGTGAGATTTCCTCATGCTACTCAGAATGGTGCACAATTGAAAACTTAGGATGTGTTTGATTTCTGGAGTTCTCCATTTTTGGAATGCAGTTGACTGCGGGTAACTGAAACCACAGAAAGTGAAACCACAGATAAGGGGAGGGATTATGTATTATGTTTGGAGGGTATTGACTGTGTCTCTCCAAGTGCTTAAGTGGACCCACCCAGAGAGCAAACACTAACCAGAACTTGCAGACTTCTCTCCCGACAGATGCTTACTTGGTTCGAAAGAGGTAAGATGTAGACCCTGGAGTCTTGAGCATGCGGCTGGGCGGTGGCTGTGTCCTGTGCCTCTGTGCTCACCAGCTGCCATGATGTCCTTGAGTTCATGCTGCTATTCTGAACAGGAACGTCCACGTCACAAGGGGCGGATCATTTGTTCACATAATAGTCCCCCTCCATGGTGTAAGAAACTGTCTTTCATTCACATTCTTACATGGAACCTCATTATGTTAAAATATGAGACTAAAAGCAGTATTTGTTTGCTGTAAAGTAAAATATATACCGGCTCCAACATTAAGAACACATAAAGCTGTTTTGATGACCATGAAAATTTGTAATTGGGGTGATGGATGCCAG